CAGGGATCACAATAGAGGGTCCCAGACAGAGCTGGAGAAAAATGTAGAACAAAATTCTAACTCACAAAAAAAGACCAGACTTACTGGCCTGACAAAGACTGGAGAAACCCCGAGAATATGGCCCCCAGACACCCTTTTAGCTCAGTAATGAAGTCACTCCTGAGGTTCATCCTTAAGCCAAAGATTAGACAGGCCCATAAAACAAAACAAGACCAAAGAGGCACAACAGCTCAGGGGCAAGAACTAGAAGGCAGGAGGGGACAGGAAAGCTGGTAGTAGGGAACCCAAGGTCGAGAAGGGTGTTGATATGTCATAGGGTTGTTAATCAATGTCATAAAACAATATGTGTACTAATATTATAATGAGAAGCTAGTTTGTTCTATAAACCTTCATCTAAAGCACAATTTAAAAACAAGAAAGTAAAAAGGCAACAACAAAAAAAAACCTGGCGCTCAGATAGCAGTGACCACTTCCCAACCACACACCTAAGGGACTCCCAAGTCCATCTTCCCTGTATAGGGTACTCACCCTGGCAGTGTCCGAGCTCATGCTGTCTTGGCTGCGTAGGCGTGAGTACTCTTCTGCAATGTAGGCCGCCGACTCCTGTGTCAGGACGGGCTTGACCAGTTTGGCCACGTGGATGTACTTCTTCATGAAAGCCGCACTCACCATCTTCTCCCTGGACCCGCACAGAGTTGAGTCCCACTGCCATGCCACAGCTCACCAACCACCTGGGTCGTGGCTGTGCCTCTCCTCAGAGTCAAGGTCAAGTGGCAGAGCAGAGGCCAGGTCTAGAGCCCATTATCACAACTGCCATTTATATTTACAAGACCATTTCACGTATTCTTATATAATTCTTACCACCTTATGAGGTAGGTAGGTTAGGTATTACTTGCCCGATTTTACAGATGAGAAAACTATGACTCAAAGAAGCTAAGTGGTGGTGCAGTGGTTAAGAACTCGGCTACTAACCAATCAAAGAAGCTAAGTGGACTCAATGGTTTTCTGACTCCAAATTCTATATTCTTAAACAGTTTTGAAAATTGAAAATCTTGACCGAAAATAGAGGTATAGGAGATCACATTCCATGCTTTGAACACCTGACTACAGTCTCTTTTATCCAAACCCATTTGCAAATCTTCCAGTGCTGGCTATCTATTGGTCCTTTCCCATAAACTCAGCACAAATGGTTACATGACATATGCAACCTTCACATATGAAGGTGACATCACACATCCACCATCAGTAAGGCACATTATCAAAGCCTTCTGTTTTAGGAATGATCTGAGGTGAATCACACATAACCCATCATAAGGCAACTGGCCTGGATAAAGGGTATATCTATAGATCCAGAAAAGAAGAAAACAGGTACACAAGTTTACAAAATTCAAGTCTGACCTTGGCCAAGGCAGCACAATGCCCTAACTGAGCTCAGATATTCACATATTCTAATATGACACAAATCTTGGGTTCCCTAGAGGGAAAAAGGTATGAGGAATGCTCACTTTTTCTTCTTGGTCCCATGCAGAAGGTTGTCATGCTTGTCATATATCTGGGTGTCCTGCTGGTCCTCCTGGTTAAAGTTGGGATCATCTGTGGCCAGAATATCCACAACACTACCCAAGGGCATAGCTGGAAAACCCAAGTTGGGAGAAAGAGGAGTAAGAAGAGCTTAGCTCAAGTGAACTTGCTTTTTCTATAGCCCAGGAAGGTTAGAAAGACAGGCAAGACTCACAAAGCAAGGAATCAGAAGGAAAACAGACATATGGAACCCACTCACAATAAGAGAGATGAAACAACCTGGCCCCATAAGCTCAAGAGTGTTCCCAGATCCAAGAGTGGACAAAAGACACACCTTAGGACAACCTCCACTGAGCAAGAAGGGAGGTGGCTAAGCAGGCTAGGGCATCTTCGGCCTCTACCAAGACACTGAAACACCCACCACCGCCTGTACTGGGCCTGAGATAACTTCCACTAGTCACTCTTACTGTTCTCATGGCCTCACCATCGCCATCCTGCTCCCCGGGTGCCCTGTAGCGGTGCATCCTAAGGACGTGGTCTGAGATCTCCCGATCCTGCTCAGAGTCCATCTGATCCAGCATGATGAAGAGCAAGTCAAACCGGGACAGCAGTGAGTCCTGCAGCCCAATGTTCTCCATAGGTGTCTTGTACTGATCATACTGGGGAACATAAGAAAAAGGAAAGTGGAGGTGTCATCAACAGGAAGAAAGGACAGGGAGGCTAGGTTGATTACGGAAGTAAGAATGCAAGGCTAGACCTTAAAAAACAAAACAGATAAAAAGCCATAGAAAGATACTGCTGTTGCTGTTGTTAGTTGCTACAGCCATTGAAATACTAAATATTATCTCTTGCTACCTGCAACCCTTCTCTAACTGAAGCCCAGGTGACCTGAGCTAACTCAAATCCCACTTCATTTCTTCCAAGCAAATAAAACCGAAACCAAACCGATTGGCATCAAGTCAATTCTGACTTATGGAGACCCCATGTATGCAGAAAACCATAGAGTTTTCAAGGCTATGACCTTTCAGAAGCAGATCACCAGGCCTTTCTTCTGAGGTGTCTCTGGGTAAGTTCAAACAACAACTTTTGGTTAATAGTCACAGCTTCAAACTAGTTGGTCCCGGTTCAATCATGGCCAAGGAAGTGACACTGGAACGGACCCGAATTTTTAAAATTTGAGTGAACCAGAACCATAACGGGAAAAATTATGAGTCAAAGCTCTGCTTAATCACCCTCTTAGAAAACAAGGGCAGCGTACATGCTGCATAGCAACCCATCAGATTTGGTGCAGACTAGGAAATCACGGTGTCCCACTCAAAGATGGTGGCCAGCTGCACCGCTTTGAATGTGTGTCGCTCTCCTCAGTCCTGCCAATAATCTAATCTCATGCATCAGGCTCCTGAAAGGGCTCACTACACCTCTTTCAAGTTTCCCGTTTCATGGCTTTGACTCATAACTTTTCCCGTTCCAGTTATGGGTCCAGATCATCTAAATTTTAAAAATTCGGGTCTGTTCTGATTTCACTTTGTTGGCCATGACTGAACTGGTTTGAACCAGTCTGGAGCCCTGTTAATAGTTTAGTGCTTTACTGTTTGCACTACCCAGAGATTCCAAGCAAACAGAGCCCCACTATTTGCTCAAGCACCTCTAACAAGCTGAGTGTGGGTCTAAAAACCAGCCCCCTCCTCCTCAATCCTCTATTCTGCTCTCATTCCCAAGGCAAGATCAACCCTGGAGACCATTCCCTCTCCCCTACCTGTTATAAAGATAAGACAAGCAGGATGAAACAGAAGCACCTGGGAACTTTGGGGTCCCTTACTTAGAAGGCAATGAGTAACACAAAAAAAGGCCACACTTACTGACCTAACAGAAACTGGAGAAGCCCTGAGAGCATGGCCCCCGGACGCCCTTTTAGCTCAGTAATGAAATTACTCCTGAGGTTCACCCTTCAGCCAAAGATTAGACAGGCCCATAAAATAAAATGAGATTAAAAGGGTATACCAGCCCAGGGTCAAGGATGAGAAGGCAGGAGGGGACAGGAAAGCTGGTAAATGGGTACCCAAGGTCGAGAAGGGGAGAGTGTTGACATGTTGTGGGGCTGGTAACCAATGTCACAAAACAATATGTGTACTAACTGTTCAATGAGAAGCTAATTTGTTCTATAAACCTTCATCTAAAGTATATTAAAAAAAACTTGACATTACTGGGGGAAAAAAAAAAAGATAATGAATAAAATCTCAACAAAAATGGTCAGTGATCTATAAACCATAATGCTTGGGCATCAGTGGAGTTTTTCCCTGGGAATCAGGAATCCCTGATCTCTTTCAATTCTGGGCTTATCAGGTTGGTGCCTGCCCACCCACATACCCTTCACAGTCAGAGGGCCTAACAATCTTACGGGCAGTATTAATAATAATTTTCAACGTGTTCCCATTCCAGGGCCTGCCACTTTCTCCCTACATTTCCCAGTAGCATTCTTCAGAATGATGTAAACACAATTAATATCAATTTATAAACCTATGGTTCTCAAACCAGGCTGTACATCAGAATCCACCCGTGAAGCCTTTTTGAACCACAGCTACCAAGAGGCCCAACCCAGAGATTTGGATTCAAAGCTTTGGGCCGGGGCCCAGGCATCTGTATGGTTAAGAAGTGCCACCAAAAACAGGTACTCCCATACACTGTGAGATTATAAATGGCCACAGCACAGCATGGACTCTGGATTCAAAATCAGGCCGCCATTTTCTAGCTTGATCAAGTTAATCTTTCCCTTTTCTATTTTGTAAAATGAAGATAATAATTTTATCTAACTCGCAGGGTTACTGTGGGGATAAAAGGAGTTGATAACTATAAATCATTTAAAAGTATTATTTAATAGGAGTCCTGGTGGTTCAGTGGTTAAGTGCTCAGCTGCAAACCAAAAGGTCAGTGGTTCTAAACCAAGGACAATAACAAGATGATAAGCTCAGTCTTTGGCCTTTCACTCCCCTGGGTCACGCAGAATAGATTTTTTGGCCCAGTCATTCAGAAAAGCCAAATGAAGGTGAGACAACGGTTAAGTGCCTGATTCCACTCACCCTGCCATAGACGGGGTTGGCAGCTGCCAAAACACTGCAGCGGGCATTCAGCCGAGCGTGGATGCCAGCCTTGGCGATGGTGACTCGACCCTGCTCCATCACTTCGTGGATGGCTGTGCGGTCCATGTCAGACATCTTGTCAAATTCATCGATGCAAACCACACCTCGGTCGGCCAGGACCATGGCCCCCGCTTCCAGACGGCGCTCCCCTGTGCAGTGGGGCAGTAAACACGTGTGCTAAGGTCTAGATTGTAGGGGACACGGGGAGGGATTTCTGTCTCCTTCCTAGGCATCTCTCACTGTAGCACATGAGAATGTACTGAAAAGGTGTCAGCTCTTAGAGATTCAGAGGAAACCCCGAGTGGGCCACCTTTTTGCTCCAGCCTACACAATGTCTCCTTATCCCACTTTGACTCCTAAGCAACTGGTCTCCCACACACTTCCTTTTTCGATTTTCTCTTTAACCTTTCCACTGGTCTTCAAATTCCTGCCTCTAATTCATAAAATAGGATAATCTTCATTTTTATTTTACTAATTTGCCAAGGCTTCGCCTTCAAAACTCTTTCAAATCTCCTTTTAGGAGACATTCTTGTCAATAGAGGGCCACGCCAAAGAATGTAAATTCACCCACTATTGCTGGATACTCAGGATCAATCAATCAGGCCCCAACTAACCTCTCAACTGTATCTTCCCAACCTTAGTCAGTGCCTAGAGCAAGCTCAAAAACTGCTCAATCTCACTGTTGGACCTTTGCTAAGGGCTCTTACACTCTTACCTGTCTCCTGGTCTGTGGTGACAGCAGCTGTCAAGCCCACTCCAGAGGAGCCCCGGCCAGTGGTGGGGATAGCCCGGGGTGCAGTGCAAAGGACATACCGCAGAAGCTGAGACTTGGCAACCGATGGGTCTCCTAGAATTGGGTGGAGGCAGTGGTGACTCTCTGGGAAATTGAGAGATGATACCTAACTCCCCCCACCCCCAGCAAGTTCTGCTTTTCTAGCACAGCTCTATCAAAGACATTTAATAACTGGTTGTTAATATTATTTCCTCTACTTTTCCCTTTACCATTTATAGAAGAATACATTTTAGATATTATAAATCAGAAAATGCAGAAATGATAATAAAAAAATATTTTTCTTAGCCTTTTGCCCTTCAATGGAACAGAAATACTGCCAAATAAATACACAATCTTACAGGTTATAGATCCCCACAACCGCACTCCACAAGGTAAGACATACTTCAAAGCAAATCTCCAGCATCATACCTATTAGAAGAATATTGATGTCCCCACGGATATGGCTGCCATTTTCTAGGTCTCGTTCTACCCCTCCCAAGAGCAAGCAAAGGATTGCCTTCTTGACATACTCATGCCCATGAATACTAGGGGCCAGTGACCTGGCCAGCTGGTCAAAGATATCCTAGAGGAATAACCAAGTGAGTGAAAAACCTAATGAGTTTCAAAGGGGTTTTGCTAAGCTCCCACTTTATACTTTAGTCTACAAAATATGTTTGAAGAAATACATAAATACAGACAGTTCCTATTACAGAAGATTCTGCTCTAAGATAAATGACATTGACCAGACCATTCACGGAACAGAAAGAAGAGGCAGACTGGATAGTAAAACTTGCTTAGAGGTTTAATCTTTAAGAAAAAAAAATTGTTGCCAGGTTCAAAACATTTGAGGCTTAATGAGTATTGTGCTTCAGCATTAACCTTTATCACTTATTCATACATTGTTCAATTCTAAATGTGACATCCTATCTTTTATTTTTTAAAAGACAGGAAAAACGTAACTGGAAGGCTATAACAAAAATAGTATTTTATAGCTCCAAAGCAAATAAATGACTGTGAATGTACAAAATACATACATTATAGTTAATATATTTCATAACAAATATCATACATTATATTGAATAATACATCACTAATGTCTTGAGTAATAAATAGACTCATTGGTATATTGCTATTCTAACAACTACTCTAATATTTGCATTAGGTCTACTTAGCAGCCTAGCAGGTAATACAACAGAAATATTTAAAAAACAAAAACACCCTTTCACTTGTTTTATGGGACAAAACTGGAAGAAGGAAGCATCAAATACTTCAGAAAAAAAAAACCTGACCTTCCTCCTGACAGTACAAAAGATGGTCATGCACCCAAACACAACCCTTACAAATCCTTCCCCACCTTCAAATCTCTAATTTCAAGGTACAATGCTATCCCAAAAGGATGCCCGGACCTTGGAACGGGTTTTGCTGAACTTCTTGATCTTGGGTATATCCTCAGAGAATGAAGGCTGAACATCCTTGCTCATTTGCTTCACATTACAGGCAATCAGGACAGTCCTGGGACAAAGAGGAGAATTAGAGAAAGCCTGCTATTTTCAGTTCCTAACATCAGTAGCTAGTACTCCAGCAGCAGCAAACCTTTTTAGACTAATCTAGAATAGCAAATAAGAAAAAAAAAGAAAGCACTGTTCTGAATTCAGTAACTGATTCTCTATCAGTCAGTGACCCAAATATGCTAATCACACCTCACCTCTGGAATTCATCTATCTCCTGCTGACCCATCAAGTTTCAGACAGAAGTGTGTATGGAAATTCCCATTTACTATGACGCTGTGACCGTGTAACCAGTAACTCACACTTCTGGCATAAGATAGCATCCCTAGCTTTATCTGACAGAAAAGAGGTATCCCACCTCACAGACAGGTACAGTACCCCATCTATTAGATACAACACTCTGGAACATGGCAAACTGAAGAAAAGAATACTACCCGGAATTAAAGCTGCCAGGAGCACTCCTAACACTCGATGGCTGACCCTTTACCTGAAGGTCCCTGAGGTATAGCCTCCCTTCTTTCCAGGAAGGCAGCGGTAAGTTCCCACCACCTGGACTCGGTCACCAGGCTTCACTTTATCCACCAAATCATCATCTAGAATGACATCCACAGAGCGAGGAAGCTGGCCGGCTGGGGCCTTCTCTGGCATCTCCTGGATGGTAATGGTCTGGTGGTCCTTGTAGACAGAAAGGCCATATTCTGTCTCAAGGGGATTGTTCTCTTCATCCTGGAGAAAGGCACAGAAAAAGTAGTTACCGCAGCTCCATCTTAGGAATGCCACACTCCTCCGTTGTGGGAAACAAATACAATCTGGAGATGACTTAATGAGATTTCAGCATCCAGGAATTAAAAAAAGTAATTGAATACCTTCTCCAGCTTTTTCCATTCATACCTGTTCTAACGGCTAACCGTCTAATGGAAGGAGCAAAGCATAGTCTGAAGGGACCACAGCTGTAATACCACAAACTAGATTAGCATCTAAATTAAGATTCTTACATCCCCTACACTATGATGCAGTATTTCCACTCCTAGGTAATAGCCAACAGAAATGTTCACCAAAAGCCACCAAAATAACTGAAATGTTCCTAGCAGCATGATTTCTAATAGCCAAAAATTAGGAAGTATCCAAATACTGTCAATAGCAGAATGGTTAAACAAATGTGGTAGTCATACAAAGGAATTACTACACAGCAATGAAAATGTATGATATACACCTATACACATCAAGGGTAAATTTCACAAACATGATGTTGAACAAAAGAAGCTCAACAAAAAAGAGTATTTAGATAAAGTATAAAAGCAGGTAAAATTATCCTGTGCTATTTGAAGCCAAGACAGTGGCTACCCTTGGGTAGTATGAGGGCTTGAGAGGGTCTTCTGAGTACCAGAAAGGGTCTACTTCCTGGTCTGGATGAAGATTATACAAGTATACTCAGCTTGTGAAAATTCATCAACTGTACATTTATGTGAGCTATCCTGTATGTCTATTAAACTTCAATAAAAACTTTTAAGTTTTACTTCCCTGCCATTTGACTTTTCTAAAAAAAAAAACACACATACAAGAGATATCACTTACTGAGTGCTTACTATGTGTCACACACTATACTATAATTTCATGAAATTTTTTCCTGCAACATCACAACTCTGTAAAGCAGGTATTGTTCACATTATACAGGTAAGGAAACTGAGGCCAGGAGACGTTACACAAGTTCCCCCAGGTCACACAATAAGCAGCAGAGCCAGGACTTGAAACAGACGTTACTCCGAAGCCCAGGTCCATAAGCACCACGCTAAACCACCTCCAGGAGACCTGATCCATTGTATTTCAGGTCTGAAGCAAAGAAGCTTGGCCACAGTGATATGCAGAAAAAGAGAACTCCCCCCTCAGCCAAAAACTGTGGGTTCCTGGAGAAGTTCTATGTTAGGTTCCTCTGTCAGAAAACCGTGTTCTACAAAGTGCCTAGCAATGCTTTGGATACAAACAGCTCTCAATTAAAATTTAACGGAGGGGTTGGGGGAGGCGTTCTTCGATAGGATGAGTTCAGACATCGGGTGATCAATACTAATCATCTTTTTTTTCCCCTCAAGTAAGGAAGAGTCCTAGTGGGACAAATGGTTAAGCGCTCAGCTGCTAACCAAAATGTTGGCAGTTCGAACCTACCCAGGAGCTCCATGAGAGAAAGACCTTTATCTTCCATAAAGATTACAGCCAAGAAAATCCTATAAGGCAGTTCTATCACATGGGTTTGCTATGAATTGAAACTGACTCAACAGCACCTAACAACAAAAAGACCTTGCATCTTGCTCAATTTAAATCAATCTAAACTCTCAAAAACAAAACCTTTTTCTATGTCAGCTTTCTCCCAAATCCAGCAAACTGCTCCTAAAACCAACTTCAAGAATTATTGGCTCTCTGTTCTGATCAGGGCCACAATAAATGGATCCTGATAGAATGGGAGAAAAATGTTGAACAGAACTCAAATTCTTAAAAAGTCCAGATTTACTGGACCAGTTGAGACTAGAGGACCCCCAGAGACTATCGCACTGAGATACTCTTTAAACTTTGAACCGAAACTACTCCCAGAGGTCACCTTTCAGCTAAATAACAGATTGGCTCACAAAATAAAGAATCTCAACAATGAGTGCTACGCCCCCTTAAAAAATCATCTGTGTGAGACCAAATGGTCAACATTCACTGTAAAGCAAAGATGAGACAGAAAGGGGGTAGGGAAACTAGATTACTGAAAACGGAACCAGAATGGAAATAATGAGAATGTTGACACATCATGAAAAATATAACTAATATCACTGAACAATTTGTATAGAAATTGTTAAATGGGAACCTAATTTGCTGTGTAAAAGTTTCACCGAAAACACAATTTAAAAAAAAAAGAATTATGGGCTTTCCACACCCTAAATATTCAGCAGAAAACTGGCTAAATAAATTGCTGATTATTTTCTTTGCTGGAATACCATACACAGTAAAATAATATTTGGAAAGATTACATAGTACTATTATAGCTTAAGTATTTTTCCATGTTCCATTTAAAATGCAGGTTATAAAACTATACATTTGATTATAACCTTGTTAAAAGATCTATGCAAATTGGATGACTTTTTCCTTTTTCAACTTTTCTATAATATTCCAAATTTTCTAAAGTTAATATACACACTTTTTTTAAAAACAAAAAACTGTAAACTTTCCATACTAAACTCTGGCCAGCAGCCAGTCTTTCCCATGGATTCTAATTTTTCAACCTACCTACTTCTAGAAGAAACACTTCAGACATTACCCAATTACTTGCATGAAAACAGACATCTTTGACGCCAGCCCCCAACAAGGCCCAACCACTGTACTCCCCTCACCTTAGTGGGATAGACAGAGCTGGAAGGAAAGGCCACCAAGGTGGTGAGATCAGAATAACTTCGCTCTATGGTCTTCTTGGTGGCAGGACAATAGTGGACACTGCGGACAACTTTGGGTCGAACTAGAGAGCCTAGGAATGAAAAACGTGCATTTAAAGTCACCCAAGTTGTTAGTGATAGAAGAGGGACTTACATTCAGGCAAGCCTACAAGGACTCCGAATACTGTCTTCTTCCGACTAGTTTAAGCTATTTCAATACAAACCAAGCAAAAACTAAACCAGTTGCCATGGAGTCGATTCTGACTTAGGGTGATCCCGTGTGTGTCAGAGTAGAACTGTGCTCCACAGGGTTTCAATGGCTGATCTTTCAGAAGTAGACTGCCAGGCCTTTATTCCAAGTAGCTTCTGGGTGGACTCAAACCTCCAACCTTTCAGATAGCTGCTGAGCATGTTAACCATCTGTACCACCCAGGGGCTCCTATCAGCTATTCATCTGTTTATCTATATATAGAACATCACCATAAAACCAAACCATACCCATTGCTGTCAAGTCGACTCTGACTCATAGCAACCCTATAGGACAGAGTAGAACTGCACCATATGGTTTCCAAGGTGGATTGGAACCGCCGACATTTTGGTTAACAGCTGGACACTTAACCACTGCACCACCAGGGTACCAAACATCACCATATCCGTGTAAAATTTTAAGTACAACTAATTCCTACTAAGAAATAGTAAGGGTTCAGGGTTGGAATGAGGCAACTGTCAGAAACCAAGCTCTTCTCCAGCTCTCAGCAGAATCCATCACTCTGCTAGCACAGGTCGTCAGTCAAGGTTATTCTAATCATTGTGCACTCCGAGCTCCTCCCAGTTCACCCCATAACTCCAATCCTTCACCCTTCTAAAACCACACACTACCCAGCTCTAGTCCACCTCTCCTGCTTTTTCAGCCCCCTAAGTCTGTCTGCTTTTATTCCCCTGGTCTCCACCTTTAACCCACTCACATTTAGTGATAATGCCCTCCACACAGACTACACAACTGAGGAAGCAGGAGGTGAGAGTTCGTGGAGAAACGTGCTTAGAGCCAAAACTGCCCTCCAGTCCTATGTAGAACTCCTCATACTGCTTGGCATAGGTAGCATCAATGGAGGCCACAAAATCCTTTAAGGCCCGCTGGAAGGCAACCAGTTCCTCAAAGGCATTGTTCAGGAGGCTGCATATGAGCAAGAATAAAAATAGTGAGGCAGAGAGACCAAAATTCCAAAAAATTGACCTTGCAAACCAAAGTGGACATTCTTAGATCATCAAGGCCAAGGAGTGAAAATCCAGTTCCTACTTTCTCCTACCATCCTACAAAACTCAGTAAAATCCATCAGAACTGAGGGTCAACTTTAACTTAACTTATGAAAGATGTAGGAACGATACCTAGTTAAAACACTGGAAGAAGAGGCACTTGGAAGGAAATGTCCACCAACTACTTTTGGAAGAAAAACAAACAAAAGAGCAGCAGAGCAATGAGGGCTTCTAGGTCAATCATATCTGATTCGGGTCCTCTCCTGGGAAGCCTATTCCAATCTGGGGAACAGGGAGGGAAGCTGATTCACTCAGAGCCAGGACTCCCCTTTGGGAACTTCTGCCTCTCACCGGTTAGCCCTCTTCTCATTTTTCCTGCGCAGATCATTCACATTGACAATCAGCCGGTATTGGTTGTCACTGATCAGTTCCCGCACTTTGCTTTGATAAAGTCCCTGGTCTTCCTGCAAAACAGGCACAAGATTAAAAAAACAGGATGTTTTTAAACAGAGGCAGCTGTCACAGCAAGATAAACAAGTCTATTTCTAAGGCAGAACTGAACCCCAAGTATCCATTTGTCAATTTCTCCCACACTTTCACTTTCTAGCCTCAGGTTCTAAATATATCCTATGGCGATACTGCAGGAATTATGACTTCCTCAAGAATAATGATCCAACTTATCATTTCTATTATCATCAACAGCTTGTTAAAATGTTTCTGTATGCTGTCATTTCTCAATCTTTAGTGGGGAATTAAAGAGAGCGCATATTAAGTCTACAAGAAAGATAAAACCTTGTTAAACTGTAAACTAAACAGACATTTATTAGTATTAAAATGCCTTTTCATTTAAAAGTTATGTACAAGTATTTTATTTCCTCATCACATATGTATGTAATATATATGAAAGAATTCTCATATCTGGACTAAAAGAGAGCTTAGCTATTTGATTACAGATACAGCATCACCAACACTTCAAGGTACTTTATCAACATTTTAGTCTTGGGTTGCATACAAAACCCCCTTTATCTGCATCTTATTCAGTATTGGAAAAGAATGCAGCCAAATTAGGAAGTCTTTCCCCTGTAACAGTAGCAAGTCAGTTACTAAATATCACCTCCCTACAACAGTACCTATCCTACCCTCTCCCAAAAGAGAGCCGGGAGTGATTTCGAAAAGACCAAGCTGGGCTTTGCCCTTTGGTTTGCACTTGAAGGGAACCTGTTGCCTTTCGCGTGACCCGTCCATAAGTTGTATTTAGGAGAAAGTTTTCTAAAGGCTCACCTACAGAAAACCAGTTAACAACTGACTCCATTGCAAGAAAAACTACAAGATGGCGGTGGAAGAGTTCTGCGCCCGCAGGCTCCGGACCAGCAGACCTGCTCGGCCAACGGCACAGCGTCTGAAGGTCCTACTGCCAGGCCATGTCGCTGCTCCGGCACGGAGCGGCATCACGCGCGTCCTCCTTCGGCCGCCCAATATCGAGTGGCTCCAAGCGCCAGAGTCTCGCGACCCGGCGCCTCCCTCACCTCGTCATCCAAGAAGTCGAGGTAATCTCTCTGCGCCTCCCGCAGCTCCACATCGTCCAGTACCACAGTCCCAGCCATACTTGCAGCCTCGGAACTGCCTCCTAGGAGTCTTTCGAAGGGGCCTTGAATGACTCCGCCCCGGCGCGAAAACTTCCGAACTTTTCCCGCCACCAAAGGTTACGTGAAGGAAAGGGCGGGAACTCTACGCGCAAATGCACATTCTAATTGGCTAGAATTTACACTAGGAATTGGGAGCTCCTCCTTCTTTAGGCTGTCTGTACGCCGCCTCGCGCTTGGCGGGAAAAGTGCCATCCGGGGCGGGCTCTCTTTGTTTCTCCCCCACCCGGCTCCGTCCTCACCGCAAGGAAAGTCTACCAATGGAGCCGAGAGGAGGGTCACGGAGCCTGGTAATTGGACTGCTAGAGAGGGCGTTCTGGGAAGTGGGGAAGCGCTGCATTCTGGGAGTCGTGGTTTTCTCTTCTTTTCCGAATGTTTTGCAGGCGATTTGCAGGCTGTGGTTTGTGGTCAAGAGCGTGGCTGATAAACAAAAGGTCGGCGGTTCCAATCCACCACCTGCTCCTTGGAAACCCTATGGAGCAGTTCTACTCTGTTGTATGAGGTGGCTATGAGTTGGAATCAATTCGAGCGCAACGGGTTTGGTTTTTGGTTGGCCAACCTGCCCCAGAGCAACCATACTTTACCAGGCGTTTGGATTAGTCTGTGGGCTTGATAATTGTCGAGTCGTAGTGGAGCAATGGTAAACTCTCTTCTGCTAACCAGAAGGTTGGCGGTTGCAATCCAGCAGCGGCTCCTGGGGAGAAAAGACCTGGTATTCTGCTTCCGTAAAAATTACAGCGTAGGAAACCTTACGGGTCAGTTCTACTCTGTCCTATAGGGTCGCTGTGAGTCGTAATCAACTTGATGATGTTATTGGAACTCTACGCACACCGGGCCAGGACCCGCGTTTGGTTCGGTAACAAATTCTGGCCCCAGATGGGACCGTGAGGTCCCTCTGACCCGCCTGCCCGGAGCCCGGTACCCCCTCGGACCGTGGACGGACTCCTCCGGACCTTACCGTGCACCGAGCCATCTGGTGGGGGAGGAACGGGTGAGTTTTCCCGTTGTGATCGAGGCGGTCTCCGGCGGAGGCGCTTCACTCTTTGAGAATCAGAAATTAATCCGGTCTGAGACGTCTCTTGGGTAAGTTGTTTTGTTTTATAAGCGTGTTAACTAAGAAATCTACTGAGATTAGCCGCGTTGAGTTAGAAACAACTGTTGCTTGCTCTCTGAGAGGTTGGTGTTTGACTAGATACCTCTGTGATTACACAGTGAGGGTGAAACTTAACAGCGGTCTTAATTCTTTCATTTGACCAAAGACAAAAGGTGACTCGAGTCCTGTTCAGGTTCTGGCTCTGTGTTTGATTCTGGTTTTGACTTTTTAAATCCTTGTCGTAAGTGTTGCGTTATTTTGTGTGTGTGTGTGCGTGCGTCAGGCATTCCAGAATGTAGTCCTCTAGGGTGTATCCTTAAGAATTATTCACATTTTAGTTATGAGGCTATGAAAAAGAAGCAAATGATATTTCTCTGTAACACCACTTGGTGTCAGTACCAACTGGATTTGGGAGAGAGATGCCCAGAACACGGAGCTTTGAATTACAGCATAGTCCTTCAATTAGATTTATTTTGTAAAAGAGAGAAGTGGGACGAGATCCCATATGTGCAGGTCTTTATGTTTCTATCAAAATAAGAATCTACAGAAGCAGTGTAAATTAATAGTTCAGTCACTTCAGATACTAAAAAGAAAGTCTTACAGGACCATGGGGATCTGTACCCCTTCAGTCTGCTGCCACCCCCTTCTGCCCCACCACCTTGCCCCCTGGAGTCAGAACCTCTGGCCCCGATACCTCAGACCCTGACCTGGGATCCTGCAACCCCGGGTTGTAGTCTAACAGTGGAGCCACCAAAGGCTCCAATCACTTTGTATCCCCCCCACCCTCTTGCTAATATCTGACATTAGGACTAGGGCCACTTCCCAAGGAACAGTCTCCCCTGCCCACACCTATAGTGGAACCCAATTCAGCCAAGGGCCACCTTCTACCCCTGCAGGGCAATATCCGTTAAGGCACACATCAGCAGGAATGGACCATGCTGGGCAGCCACAAGGTTTCCTTTGGATGCACACCTCGTTATCCACCTCACACTTTTACAATTGGAAAAATAATCTCCCTGCTTATCGGGAGGACCCCAAGAAAGTGGAGGTTCATTTTGCTTCTGTGTTTGCCACTCATCCCCCCAATAGGGCAGATTACCACTCTTTACCCTATGTCCTTTTAACCTCTGATGAAAAAAGGATGGTGATTGAGAAGGCTAGACAAGAAGCTGACAAGCTTCATGCTTTGAACCCCTAGAATGACATCAGGCAGCCCACGGCCCAGGCTGTTCCAATACAGAGCCTGGGTGGGACCCAAACGACAGGTTGAGCATGGCCCGTCTTGACCATTATAGGCATTACTGATCATCAGGCTAGAGCAGCAGTGCCTAAACAAAGAGTTTGAGTAAGATACAGGAGGTCAAGCAGGGGGAAAAGGAGAATCCCTCCAGCTTTCTGGAGAGAACCTTCGGAGCATACTGCCAATACTCTGACATTGACCCAGAAGACCCCACCAGTGCTAGGTTGATCAACATGACTTTTATCAACCAAAGCACCCCATATATCAGAAGAAGGCTTCAAAAACTTGAAGGAGGACTCGGGAAAAACACCTCTGAATTGGTTGAGATTGCGTTTAAGGTCTACAACAACTGAGACCAAGAACATGCTAGGAGAGAAGGACAGAGGATGAAACAGAAGGCTGTGCTCTTGGCAGCCGCCCTTGGGAGTCTGCCACTGGGTAAGTTCCCACCAAGAGGGGTAAGTCCCTAGGGCCCCTCAGTGCCAAAACCCCCCTCGGAGACCTCAGCAGACAGGTTGGCCAACGTTGGGACCCCAGCAGTGTGCCTATTGCAGAAAGGAGGGACATTGGAAGTGAGAATGCCCTGGATGCCCTCACAGAGGCCCCTCAGAGCCCAGTCGAGACGTTGCCCATCAGATGGTGCACCTGTTGGACAGTGACCGAGAATGACGGGATCCAGGGGCTCCCTTGCCTACTGGGCACAAGGAGCCCCAGGTAGCTATAACTGAGGAAACCCAACTGGTAGAATTTTTGGTGGACACTGGGGCAACATATTCAGTCCTTAACACTTGGAGTGGTCCTCTTTTGGAAGAAACTATGACTGTTACTGGGGTCTCGGGGAGATCCTCTAGCAAAACTTTTCTGCAACCTCTGGATTGTCACACTGGGAAGACAACTCTCTCTCACAGCTTCTTATATGTGCCTGAATGCCTGTCCCACTCCTAAGGTGTGACTTGCCAACCAAACTCAATGCTCAGGTTACCTTTTCAGCTGGAAGGCTCCAGGTTGAAGTAAACCCAGACCACGCTTGGGCCCTGCAGACTGCTCTTTTGCAGCTCCCAATTCTAAGCTCAGATCTCATACCTGAAGAGATCCTTCAGAAGGTAAACCCAGAGGTGTGGGCTACTGGAGTCCCTGGAAAAGCAGTAACAGCCAACCCAATCAAGGTAAAGCTAAAATCAAATTGCTCTATGCCCCACCTGAAACAATATCTTCTGAAGCAGGAGGCCAGAATGGGCGTAAAACCCTTAATAGAGACTTTCCTCCAACACGGACTAATCCACCCGTAACAGTCACCCTAGAGCACTCCCATACTCCTGGTTGAGAAGCTGGGCACAGGTGAATACCGGTTTGTTCAAGACTTGAGGGCAGTTAATCAGGTTGTGGAAGATAGCCATCCAATAGTGCCAAACCCCTGTAACTTACTAACTGCACTTCCAGGAGATTATGCCCGGTTTATGCTGCTGGATTTAAAGGATGCCTTCTTTTGCATTCCCCTGGAGGCATCATCCCCCGAAATCTTTGCCTTTGAATAGGAGGACCCAAATATGCAGATAAGGGCTTAGTACTGTTGGACTGTGCTGCCCCAAGGGTTTAAAAACACCCCTACTCTGTTCGGGAAGCACTGGGAAGAGACTTATGAGAGTTAGAATTACCTGAGGGAGTTGTTTTACAGTATGTTGACATCCCGATTGCTATCCCCTCTAAAGAAACTTCAGACGAAAATACAGTGACTCCTTGAATTTCTTGGCTGAGAGAGTATATAAGGTTTCTCAGAGAAAAGCCCAAGTTTCAGTCATCACTATAACATATCTGGGATTTAAGCTGCCTCAAGGGCAAAGGGAACTGCTAACAGAAAGGAGGCCATAGCCCGAGTGGCCACCCCTACAACGAAAAGACAGCTGTGATGGTTTCTGGGCATGGCTGGATTTTGTAGGATCTAGATCCCAGATTTTGGGTTAATTGCTAAGCCTTTATACCAGGCAGTCCAAAGAAAAGATACCAATCCCCTGCTCTGGACATCAGAGTGCTGGCAAGCATTTCTTCAAATAAAAGAAAAACTAGTGACTGCACCTGCAGGTTTACCAGACTGCTGCAAGCCTTTTGAGTTTTATGTGCATGAAAAATAAGGCACAGCTCTAGGAGTCTTAACTCAAACTCTCGGCCCTTGGAGGAGGCCTGTAGCCTATTTCTCCAAACAATTGGACATTGTGGCCCAGGGATGTCCTTGTTTGCATGCGGTAGCAGCCGCCTGTGATCTCCTGGGCAAAGGTGAAAAGTTTACCCTAGGACACCCAACAATGATCTTAACCCCTCACTTTGTCCTTTCTGTGCTTGAGCAAAGAGGAAGACTCTGGTTAGCTACAGGCAGACTTGGGAGGTATCAGGCAGCACCCTTAGATAATCCTAATGTGACTTTAAAGGCTGTTTCCTCCCTAAACCCTGCAGCCTTGCTTCTGGCATCTGGTTTTGAAGAACCTGAACATGACTGCGTGCAGGTAATAGATGAAGTGTATTTAAGCCTCCTCAATTTGTCTGACCAGCCACTTGATAACCCGGATGTTGAGATTTTTACAGACGGTAGTAGCTTTGTTGAAGGTGGAAACCGGAGGGCTGGTTATGCTGTGGTGACCCTGCATGAGACTCTT